TGCGTAATTAAGCTCTTTTTTCGCTTTCTTTTCGGGATGCTTCATTTCTTCACCACTTTATCATCATTGTAACTATGTACCTCAAATTGAAGGAAGTAGGGACTGGCCCAAGATATTCCAGGGAGTTTAGTGGTTCAGTGAAAATGTCCCAAGTCCCATTCCAATACTCTAAAGCATTAAATCACCCTCACTCTACAGTACATATCTAAAATCTATGAACATTTCTAGCACATGTCTTTAGTGTATAGTTGTACTGTACCAAGCATTCTTTTAAAATACTTTTTTCAGCACGTCTTCAGGATTGCTTGTGGACCACAACTAGTCCCGTCACATCTGACTATGCTTGCTGGGGATGATGGGAGCTGTAGCTGAACATCTAGGTGCACACATTTAGGAAGGGCAGGCCTAAGGGGACAGCACAGAGTTAATTCATTATGCTTAAATACAACACTGTGAATGTTGAGACAGAGAAGCTTTTCCCAAAGTTAAATAATACGGCTTACCTGATCCGGCTTAAAACTTAAATTAGATGGCATCCTGATATTATCATAAGGATTTGGCCACTGAATTTGCCACCCAAATGCATCCCAGGTTTATTGTCGCTCCCAGGGCACTCAGTGTGGCTCTTAATTTTTTTTTTTTTTTTAGTTTTATATAGATCCATATTTTATTGTGTTCCAAACTGTGACTGAAATGGCTTTTTATTTTTTAATATATTTTTAATAATTTTATTAGTATAAAAAGTCAAGCAAAACATAACATAATAACACATTACATTACATAACAACATAAAGAAAAATATAAAACGAGAAACAACACAGACAGACACAAAAAATGAAAAACAAATAAAGAAACTACCACAACATTAAAATCACAAACAGTCACAAACTAATTCTAACAAATAACACTAAACATTAACTTCCTAACCAGTGGCAAGTAGATCAAGAAGATGGCTCTTTTTGAAGCCAGGAGTTTTCTGGCTTCAGGAAATGGCCGCCAGAGTAGCCCTGAGAGAGGGAATGGACCCGGGCAGAGGATTCGGCAGCTAAATCCTTGTGATAATATCAGGATGCTGCCCAATTTAAATTTTAAGCTGGATCAAGTAAGCCGTATTATTAAATTTGTGATAAGCTCCTGAGTTATTCCTGATTTAAGCCTCATTCCACTTTAGATGACACTGGACGTTTTCACACGGGGCAAAAAAGGGAGTCATTCCTACCTCCATCCGGCCCCACTCCAGCTCCGTGCAGGAAAAGTTCACACGACGTCGCAGCAAGCCCCTCCTCATCCTTCGCCATCCCTGCGCCATCCCTGCCTCACTCCGGGGTCTTGCTCGTCGTGTTCATACGACGTCGCAGCAAGCCCCGCCCCATCTTGCGCAATCCCTGCGCCATCCCTGCCGCCAGCCAGCTTTAGCCCCATCTTTTAAATTCCTTTTTTAAAAAGGAATTACAGGCGCTTCTGCCGGAGGCAATCAGGAGTCATTCCGGCGGCTGCTGTTTTCGCCGCCAGAATGACTCCTGATGGCTTCCAGGGGGCTTCCAGGCGGCTTTAGAGCCGCCTGTGTGAAAACGTCCACTGTGTCACTTTGTCAGTTTCATGAGCTTCACATTTCCTGTAAATGCTGGCATTCGCTGTGACACCAATTACATTCATTCTCAGCCTTTTCCCATACTGATATGGTACAATAGCCATTTATCCATTCATTGAGAAGCATTCATAGGGATACTGACCACCCGAAAGTGCCAGGGAAATAATAGCACAATGGCATTAGACAACAAAAATCAATGCCAAATGTTTGTCTTCACCCCTGTGTTGGGAAGCTGAATGGGTAACTGAAAGGACCTTTTTTAGCTTAAGCTTTTACATGTGAGCTATCATATAAGGCCTTAATATGCTCAAAGGAAAATTTATAATGGAATTTCAGTGCCACTGATGTGCTACTGGGGAGCTGCCAAGATCTTCCATCAAGCATTGTCTTCCCTACTGATTTCTGAATGTCCAGTCCCTGTTCTGTTTCATTAACATAGCTGTCAACATGGCAGGTTTAACTAAAGTTGTGTACTTGTAATGATTGCTAATGCTGAAACCTCTTCACAATCTATGCAGAAAATATTCTGAACTTATGAAACTCTTACTGATAGATCCCAGGCTTTGTTGTGTGCCTTCAAGTTGTTTCAAATTTATGGCCATATCATGGGGTTTTCTTGGCAGAATTTGTTCAGAGGAGGTTTGCCATTGCCTTCCCCTGAGGCTGAGAGCATGTGACTTACTCAAGGTCACCCAGTGGGCTGTCTGAAGCTTATAAAACAACAGAAAGGGTGGGTGGATAGGATCTACCTTCTGAAAATCTATGTGTTGTTGTTTTAAATGGCCTGATCCCATAAATAATTGCACTAAGATAGGGCAAAATAGGGGCATAGAAAGAGGATAGGATAATATGGCCTCTGACCATTGCAGTATACTACAGTTCCCAGGATCACTTAGCCAACATGGCTCAGTGGCTGTGCTAGATGGGGATTGTGGGATGTGTAGTCCATCCAAACAAATGAAGAAGAAAGAAAGAAAAGTAACATTTCCAAATTGTGCCTATTTTCTCCAAATGGATTCCCTCTCCCCACATACATATGACTTTATAGGAAGGAGATCCATCAAAATTGCACCTTTCATTCTGGCATTCACATGTTTCTAGGCTTTGATGAAAATGATCTAAACTGAACTTCTGATAGTACTGGAGTATAGAACAGGAAGGGAAGTCATCACTTGTGACAATGAAAGGACATCTGAACAGGGCCTTAGGAAAGCTCCTTTTGTCTCTCAGGTTCCTTGAAATTTGGACCCTGGGAAAAAAGGGGGATAAAGCAAGGGACATAAAGGGTGGCATGGGCACATACTTTTTTGGACCGAATCCTCCAACTGGCACAGCATGGCCATTCTCACACACAATTGGCTTGTACTGTATAGTTCTGTCTCTGGATTCTCCACTCCAAAACATGCAACTGAAAAAGTAGGCTCAATTCTACAAAATCTCATGCTATCAACTTCTTATTTCATTTAGTCTCAAAGGTGCTAGAGAGCTATAAATTATATTTTAGCAATCCCAATGGGCCACTTAAACTCCTGAACAGACTGGACTAAATGCCAAAGACACCCAAGGCGCCTCTAAACACCAGTTGTGAATTTGCCCTTGAAATAGTCAGAAATTCCTACGCTGGCCAATAGTCAAGCAGGCTCTCTGGTTAGTGCCATTGTGAAAATGGTTCCAATCCCTAGAAGGCCGCATAGTAGCTTTTCTCAGCCTGGTACACTCGCAGTGTTTTGAACTTCAATGCCCATCAGGTCTAGGTAAATAGTTAGAATAGCTCAAAACTGTGGTCCATTTAGGAAAGGGGCATTCTCAGGAAGGAGGGCTTTATTGGGGTCGCTTCAGTTGATTCAGCAAGAATTTCTTCTAACATCCTTGCTTCTTTCTTTAATGCTACAATCTTATAAGAGAGCCAGCATGGTATAGTGGTTTGAATGTCAGACTAGCACTATGGAGACCAGGGTTGTAATCCCCGCTCAGCCATGGAAACCCACTGGGTGACCCTGGGCAAGTCACACTCTCTCACCCTCAGAGGAATCCAATTGCAAACCCACCTCTGAGCAAATTTTTGCCAAAAAAAAACATTATAGGTTCACCTTAGGGTTAGCATAAGTCAGAAACAACTTGAAGGGCACACAACAACAACAACAACAACAACAACAACAACAACCAATCCTATACTATTTCTTTGTTCATCTTCACAGAAAATTCTTATCTGGGATATTCTACTTTGTAGCTAAAATATTTCTCATGGTCTCTCTCCCCCCACCATATATATATTTCTCTCATCACTGAAACCATGTTTCTGCTGGGAGTTTATGAAGGCTTAGTTGGAACTTCAGTTTCACTAACAAGATCTGGCTAAAGTCATCTTCATAGTTGTGTGCGATAGACTGTTCTCAAAAGGTTCAGACAAAAACGAATGTGGAAGAGCCCATGAAGAAACATGAATTACTGTGATAAAGTTCTTCAAGTTTTGCTGGTTGTTGTTGCCTCCATGTCTACTCATTTTATTCTCTTTTTGTGTGGGAGAGGGGTACTGTCTGGATCTATACTAGAACTCTTCCAAAAGTTTTCTAAAACTGGGTTGTGGTTTGGTAAGGTGTTCCTATGGTATGAAGGGCAATTTTTCCCTTCCCTGAATTTTTAATTTCCCCCCTTAGAACTATAATGCTGTAGTACAAAAATGTCATTTCATTGAGGCACTACATCACTATAATTCTATTTTTAAAAAGTGAGGGAGGGGAGGAGAAGGAGAGACAAAGGATACTTTTTTTCAATGTGTCTCAGTATTATAAAGAAACTCACTTGAGAGTGGGAATAAAATGTTGCAACTGGTGTTGGAAATTGCAAGGAAGTAGGCTAAGACCACAGAAACATTGTTGGGATTGTAAAGAAGCAAACAAAAAAGAAGTATAGTAACAAATACTGTAACCTCCCAATACTTTGGGCTCATCTGAAGGAGGTCTTTCACGCATACGCAGCAATGCAGTGATACATTTTGAAGCATAGGTACTGATCATGACAGCCACCATTGCCACATACCCCAAGGAAAGTCAGAAAAATGCAGATAGTTCTGTAGATCTAAAACAACAAAAACAGCTCTAGCATTTTTCATCTCAGCCAAGACCAGGCCTTTTACAAAGCTAATGGCTGATTCAAGACCAAGCTGGCCCAAATACATTGCATTACAACATGACAGAATGTAACACTACCTTGTTTTGGGGAATATCCAGTTACCTCCTGGCTTCTGTGGGAATTACAACTAAACTCACAGGGACATGGAAATTTGGGAGTAAGGGCAGATGGCATGGTGGTTTCTGCTGATCAAAATGTTCTGACAGTTTGCCCTTGAGAGCCCTGGTTTTACCACAGCAGTGCATGTAGATCAAAGTGGGATGGTGAGGGGGGCTTATTTAAGAGGATTTAGGTTCCATCTGCATTACAGAAATAATCCAGTTTGACACCACTTTAACTGCCATGGCCCAGTTCTATGGAATTCTGGGATGGTAGTTTTGTAAGTCATTTAGCCTTCTCTGCCAGAGAATTCAGGTGCCACAACAAACTACAATTCCCAGAATTCCATAGCATTGAGCCATGGCAATTAAAGTGGCATCAAACTGGATTATTTCTGCAGCATGGATGGAGACCTAGAGGTCATTCCCATTTGCATTTAAATTACTTTGCAAGTCGCATTGACACTGGGTCTCTGAATCGATTCAGGCTGATGCGTTGTTCCCACTACGGAGGTGTATTATTTCATTATTCCATGAATTTGTTTCTTTTTTGACATGATTGCCTTTCCCACTTGATTTGCACTGCTATCAATCAAATTGCGTTATTGGTAGGGAGGAGGTCTCCTCAGGCTTGGCTTTCCCTCCCTCTGTCTTCCTTCTCCTCTTCTTCCTCCTCCTCCTCTTCCTCCTCAGGACAGTGACGTTGCCTGAGGTAAGTGGAAGGGAGCTCAGTCAAAGGGTGGTGGCGGTGGGGGCTCACCTTAGGGTCACCATAAAATTGTAAATGCCCTGAAGACATACAATGCCCATATGCTTGTCCTCTAGGCAAGAATTGCATCCCTTCCTTCTTCCACCCGAGTCACAAAGGTGGAGGAGCCCCTGTCCCTTTCTTCATCTGGCAACCCTCCCAGCCCAGAGGCAAGAAGAAGAAAAAGAAAAAGAAGAAGTGAAGTCCTTGTATAGCATGGAATGGAGGGGTGCTCATCTTTCCTCTTCAGCACCTACCCCACCGAAAGCACCTGTTCCCTCTCTTGCCCTCCGCCGCCACACCTTGCAAGGAAAATGCAGAGGGGACAGAGGAGTCAGCCAGCCCCCTTCCCTCACTGCAGCCAGACTCTCCCTCCTTCTGTCCATCACTCTCTTGGTGGCTTCTGGTGCTCCAGCATTCCCGGAGACTCTTCCCAACTTTCCCCAAATGTCTTCCTCCTCACCTCAGGCAGGGGCCGGAGGTGCCTTCCTTGTTCACCCTCTTCTTCCCTTGCCTCCCAGCAGGCCCAGCTCCAGCAGTAGAGGGGGGAGCGTTGCACAGAGGGAAATAAAATCTTATATACACATGTGCACATGATCACAAGAGTGATGGGTGGCTTGCTGGATCCATTGCCAGCCAGATCCACATGTCTGTAGCCCTAGTGCACACACGCACACACGCACACAGACACACACACAGCACACAGACACACAACCAGCAGAAGCAGCCGGGGAAGGACAGATGTTGAAAGGGATTAGTCCAACGGAGAATTTCAAAAGCCAGGAAGCACACCAAAAATACTAGGCTTGCAAAGGGATGGAGGGGTGGATAACAGGATGGAGCGGGGTGGGATGGAAGCTGGAAGGCCTATGGTGCCTTCCTCACTCACCCTTTTCTTCCCTCACCTCCCAGCAGCCCCAGCCTCAGAAGAACCCTGGTGGCGCAGTGGTTAAATGCCTTTATTGCAGCCACTCACTCACAAACCACTCACTCACAAACCACAAGGTTGTGAGTTCAATACCAGCCAGGGCTCAGGCTTGACTCAGGCTTGCATCCTTCTGAGGTTGTTAAAATGAGTACCCAGTTTGTTGGGGACAATTAGCTTACAGTTGTAAACCACTTAGAGACTGCATAGCGTGGTATGAAGCAGTATATAAATGAAGTTGTTAGTGCTATTTTTAAGGTGTCACAGAACTCTTTTTGTCAAAATCTTTATCTGGGAACTTTTCCTCTTGATTCTAGCAGGCATATAAGTTGCTCCCTGTAAGTAAGATAAGGTGTCCTCATGCCTTCATACATGGGATCTCAGGCTGGAAGGCATTTTTGTCACAAATGCATCAGTTATGCCCTACAGTTCAAGGGTTCAGTGAGGGGCCAAAGACCTGTTTACGACTTGTTTGCATTCACTGTAAAAGAAGATCTTGCTCACTGGTGGATTGGGCCATTGGTGGCTTCACCTGTCTCGCAGTCAAGAAAGAAGCTTAGATGCCCATTGCCTTTTAATATACAGTACTTATTTTGACAGCTTTTCATTATTTCAGGTTGCTCTCTGGCAAAATGGCAGGAGCAGCAGTAGTGTAGTCATTAAAAACATTAAATTGTTAAAAATATTGTTTATAAAATTATATTCAGGCTATGTGTATAAGGTGTATATGAAACAAAAATCAATTTCATATTTAAACTTGGGTTCCATTCTCCAAGATATTTCAATACGTATATGCAAATATTCCAAAATCTGAAAAACTCCAAAATCCAAAACACTTCTGGCCCCAAGTATTTTGGATAAAAGAGACAGTTCCCATACCCCCCCCTTCTCCTGACTTGGCAGAAATAATTCCAATCAATCCTCTGTTGTCCCACTTTTTTTATAAGCTTATAAAACGTCTTTCCCTCCGACTTTCCTTCTTTTCTGCATACTTCAATTGCTGCAAACTGAGTTCAAAATGGAAAAGTAGTTTGCACTCTATTAAGTGGAGGTGAGGAAGAGGATGAGAGAAGGAGGCAGAATCTTGCCCTCCCAGGAGGCTCAGGCAAAAGCAAACAGCTGCAGCTTTCCTTTTCTTGTCTGCTATTCCTCATTAATAACTTTTGCCATCTTGTCCACACTCTGATATTGCTTGGCCACCATGCTCCAGTTTTCATCTGTGAAAAATTGCAGGCTATGAAGTCTGACTCCCACTGACAAAATTTTACTCTCCCCCTCCCCTGCCTCAAGATCAAACTAAACAAGCTTTTCAGGGCTTGGATTTATTGTGACAAAAGACACAGGAGCCTGATGAACCCTGAAGGTTGTGGATAAAACCAGGAAAATGCTATTTATATTCTTGCCACCGAACATGAAACAAACCTCAGAATATTAAGCAATCTGAGGAACTTTGGGTTCGCAGAGTCTGCACAGTTCACTGCCCCAGAGACAACTTCAGATGAGCCAGCCAAGCATGGTTAAGATGCTTTTAGGCAGCACTCCACAAACCAATTACGGCTAGAGTTGATTTCAAAACCAGACCAAAATGCATTAAAAGTGCAACCATGCTAGATGAGTTGATTGGTGGAATGGCCTGTTAAAATGCATCATATATTAATTTTGTGGTGATTTTGTTCTATATGTTACTGATGCACAGTGGAGTCATCTGTTTTACAGCTACAGCTGAGACTCACATTAGGGGCTGGGAATGGCACAATTGAGAGGAAGAATATAGGCTTAGGAAGCTAAAGTCCCAGCCTCTGTCCCAGCAATCTTTGGTAGCATCAATTGGGAAGAAGACTCCTGCTTCTTTTTCTAAGGTGCACCTACACTGTAGAAGTAATTCAATTTGACAAAGTTTAAAGACCTTGTAAAACTACAAATCCCAAGATTCCATAGAATGGAGCTACAGGACCTAAAGTGGTATCAAACAACATTATTTCTATAGTATAGATGCACCCTGGAAGAGCTGTTGTCAGAGGAAACACCAGGCTAGATTGACCCGGTCTTGGAGATTTCTAAACACTATTGAAGG